AGAGGGAGGAGAGACTGGGGGACTGGAGACCAAGCACGTGCCATGTGAGAAATTCATTCGGCCTTTCTGGTGAGTAAAACTGCATGCTGTGAAGGGCTCTAATTATAAAAGCTGTGCTCAGAAAGTATATATTGGTGATTAAAACAGGAAATGATCCTTATTAAAATGCTTTTAAATGCATCAAATATTTCATCACACATGGGACACATTGGGGGGAGAAAAAAAAAGCAAGCAAGCAAAAACATATCAACCTATAGTTCCTGGGGAAGAAAACAACGATCAGGCCAATAGTTGTTCCAGTTAATTTAAGAAAAATCCATTCATTAGCTAGAGAGTAAAAAAGCAGCCTGCTCTCAAATTCTGTTTTGTTTTTAGACGAGGCCCAAGTGTTGGATTCCGTAACCAATAAAATCTGTGATCTCAGCCTCCATAAGTTGCAGGATGGTTGCACGGAGCTCAGGGACCCAGAATGCAGGAGTAGGAAAGTTTTGGGACTTAATGTCACACGATGTAGTTCCTGGACCAGCAGCATCAGCATCACCTGGGCACTTGTTACAAATGCAGAGCCTCAGCTCCACCCAGAACTACTGAACTAGCATTCACATTTAACCAGACCCAGGGGGGTCCTGTGCACCCTGAAGTTTGAGAAGTGCTGCTTCAGGGCAGATAGCTTTGCAGAGAAATATCAGCCCAGTAAGTTTCTCCTCATCTTTTGTTTAGTATCTAACACCAAGACGGGTTAATTGTTTATTTATGTTGCAATTTTATGAGGCATTCTGCTGAATTTGCTGTTTCTCAATTATTCTTTATAATCTTAATTTATATGTGAGTTAAAGTTCTTTTTTTTCTTTCCCCTTACTTCTTCTTTCTCCATTGTTTTTCCGTGTTTCGTTTCTCTCTCTTCCTTTTCTTCTCTCCTTTTCTGTCCCCAACCCGTTTGGAAACCTGGTGCAGCTAGCAGAAAAACTGAAGCTGTCAGATCCTCTGGTGTTGGAAAGACGCCGCGGAGACAGGGACTTAGAGCCAGATTGGCTGATGCAACTTCGGAGGCGGCACAAGGAGCTGGGAGTGGAGGTGGGGCCAGAGGATTGGTTGGGTGGGCACTTTGTGTCCCTCCTCTTTCCTCCCCTAGTCACAGACTAGGCACTGACATCAGCAAGTCCCCTTCCCCTGCACATACACCCCATAGTCAGGCCGTGGTACCTCCCGTTGCCCACCAAGCGCAGTCTGTCCTGGGAAAGGGTGGGGGTCAGAGGTCCTTGCTGAACCCTTTGCCTGTGCAGCACTATGCTCATGAGATGGTGGGTCCTCCCCCAAATCTCCCGCCTGCCAGCCTTCCCTGAGGCCCCAGAAAATACGTTTCATGACCATCAAAGTCTCCACATCTCTGTTAGGAACAATGGATCAGAGTGAACCTGTGTCACTTTCATGTAATGTAGGGCAATTGCTTCAAAGATTTCTGGGCCTTTCCTTTTTGTTCTGACAATTGCAGGAGCTGCTGGTAATAATTGGAACAGTAATTGGGACAGGGCCTCCTTCATTTCCTTTCTCCCACTCTGTTCTAAAGAAAGGACAAAGTGGATTTTTGAAAGCATGCATGGTCCTTCCTCCCCCCATCTCCTGCATACTCTGAGGCCCACGGTTCAGTTCCTTTTACTGCCCCTTCCTTTGAGGGAGGACAGGTGTCCTGGTCTCCAGGCTGCCTCTGTCTGTACCAAGCAGAGCTGGGAGACAAGATGGCGGAGACCTTGCTCCCTGCCCATGTGACCCATGAGGCCACTGAGCTTTCAACTGAGGCTTGGTTAGCTTGTTATTTCCACTGGAAGTACCCTTTTGATATAATTTTAAAATACCTTGTTTTCTGTTCTTGTTTTTCTTTGTGTTACTTAAAAGGATTTTACTTAATTTTTAAACAGCAGAAAGTAGCAGAAGACGTTGGTGATCCACATTCCGCTCACTCAGATATTTTGGGAACTGGAGGAACAACAGGTACACACACTGATGAACAGAGCAAGTAAACAGCTGACTTTCATGATCTGATCATACAAGATACAATTGTTAAATGACAGATTCTGGAGTCGAGTTCTAGAAATTTTAACAAAGATTTTATTTGAGAGTAAACCAAATTGCTGCAGCAAGGAAGCCTGGCACTCAAGAAGAGTGCCAAGAGATACAAGGAGTTCAATTTGAGAAAGATAGGGGTCTCCTTTTATAATAGGCTTTGAGGAAATTAGTTGAGGAAAAAGGGATAGGTTCTGGGAAATTGTGATTTCAACAAAGGTAGATCCTTTTGAGGTGGGGGCAAGTTTGTGATTGGGCCATGTGTCCTTTCTTTCGTTTGTAATAGATGCAAATGTTCTTGGCTTTACTGTGATGAAGTCTGAAGAGCATGTGGGTTTGGAAAATACCAGTTAAGTAAGGCTTGTAGGTGTAAGCACCTGGGTCTGTTCTAAACTGGTTATGGTCATTTCTGGTAGACAAAATAATTTCCAAAAATACTTTGCCCTACATTCCCAGAGTACCTTCCTTGCTCTTCTGTCTGCCTGTGGAAATCTAACCCTTCTTCCAGGCAAGGCTGAGAAGACCCACCTCCTCCACAGAGAAAAGTCCACATGCATGTAGACACTTCTGAACTCTCACATTATTGTAGTTTCTGCTTCACCATTCAGATTTTAAACACTGTGTCGCATTGTATTGTTATCTAATTGCTTCACCCCTATTAGTACCTTCTCCCCAACTAGAGAAGTTTCTTGTGGTCAGGGATGTGAATTATCTGTATTTTATGTTAGTGTTGGGGACATTGTTGTTGTTTGCTGCTGTGGAGTCGGCCTCCGATCATAGTGACCCCATGCACAATGGAACTAAATACTGTCTGGTCAAGTGTCATCCTCATGATCAGCTGGGGATCAGACCATTGAGATCCATAGGGGTTTCATTGGCTGGCTTTCAGAAGTAGATCACCAGGCCTTTCTTCCTAGTTTGTTTTAGTCTGGAAGCTCAGCTGGAACCACTGAAAGCATCATAGCAATACGCAATCCACCATGGACAGATGGGTGGTGGTTGCGCACGAGGTACAGTGGCTGGGACTTGAACCTGGGTCTTCCGCGTGGAAGGCGAGAATTTTACCACTGAACCACCACTGACCCCACTGGGGATATAGGAAGCTGTTAAGATTTTTGAGCTATCAATTGTCACATATGTGTGAAGTAAATATGTTTTGAAAGTGTTTTCATTACATCCCTACTTTCCCCTCAGTATGCCTCTGACTGGTGGGTCTATCTGGTAGTATTATCCCCAGTTAACTCCATACCTTTTCCCCAAGTTACATTCACGGTCAGATTGGACACAGTCCTCATCTCTTCCCTTCCAGACATTTCCCAGCCTTCTGCACTTTCTTCAGGGATGAGCAAGGGAACAGGAAGGAAGGGCATGCCCTGGGTCCTGTTTCTCAGCTCTGTTGCTGTGTCGCAGGATCTGCAAAGGTTAAGGGGTGGAGGAAAGGCAGATTGGGCTGTCTCTGGATGGCTACTTCCTAACAGGATGTCTCCTGCTGTCCAACCGAGTAGATGGGACTGCTGCCACACATGTCCTGTAACATTGGGCTTATCTTTCACTTCTCCAAAGAAACTAGTTGCCGTAGAGTTGACTCTGACTCACGGCGACCCTATGTGTGTCAGAGTAGAACTATGCTTCATAGGGTTTTCAATGGCTGATTTTTTGGAAGTAGATCTGCAGGCTTTTCTTCCAAGGTACCTCTGGGTAGACTTGAACCTCCAACCTTTTTGCTAGCAGGCCAGTATGTTAACCATTTGTACCGCCCAGGGACTTCCTACGTTAGTATATCTTATCAACAAAATGGCAGAGCCAGAATTACTGACTACCAAGGTCCCTTCCAGGGCAAACATGCTCTGATTTTTTGAAACCAGAGCTGTCATTTCTGCTGTCTGACTTGGGTTTTTAACTGGAAACTTTGTAAGTTTCAAATACCCAAGTCACTTTGGAAATCCTTAGAGTAGAAAGAGTTCATCTGAAAATAGGAAAGTGTGGAGTTAGATGGGATTGTAATTTCTGTCTTTCCAGCCCGCTGGTTTAAGGCTCAGAGATCATATAAGGTAGTGAGGGAGATATTTTGTAAACTGTATGTGATGAGCAGTGAGAGGTTTTGCGATCATTGCTGTGGTTTACTTGTCATCACATTAGTGGAAACCACATCACGCGGCCTGTCCTTGTGACTGCTTTGCAAAGAGGACACAGGCAGGAATGTTCTTTGTGTCTCTGCAAATGCCACATTTCAGGTCTCCATTCTTCCTCTTTGCGCTTTGTCTTCAGAAAACACTTTCTACCAGGATCTTTCAGGACATCAAGGCTACTCAGAGCCCCTTGGGTACCGCTCAGCCCCATGGCCAATGCCGGAGCAGACAGACCCAAGCCAGCCCAGCTCACAACAGCCCTTTCCCCTGCAGCCAGTGGGAGGAGGTGCAGGGCCGACAGGGGCACCGCTGCCTCTGTACTCAGTTCCTGAGACCCATCCACCAGGGACTGGCCGCAGTGTGGCAGTGACAGCAGCTCCTGGAGCAAGGGCCCGGGAGGAAGCCCTGCAGGCACACCCACCCCTTGGTAAGACATGCTGGCTGGGCTGGAAGCCTTGGGTGAGGGAGGTACAGGGACCATTCAGAGAATGTAGGGTTGGAGCTGGTCAAGACATGAATCGTAGGGTGGGGTATGCACATTATTGAGGGCCTGCAATATGTCAGCCACTGTGTTGGTACTTTGCAGGCATCAGAAGGAGATTGCTCTCTTAAAGTCTAGTCTGTGGGAATGTCCAGTCTCTACTGAGACAAGCATAGCAAACAAACAGCAGCCACTCCTGCCCTTCCCCTCGAATGACACAGTTTCTAGGAGAGGCTGCAGGGTGGGGACAATGCCACCTGTGCCTTGAATGCATAGTGTTATTGTTGTGAGTTGCTGTCCAATCAGCTCCAGCTCATGGTGGCCTTATGTATAACAGAACGAAACACTGCCTGGTTCTGTGCCATCCTCACAGTTGTTGCTATGTTTAAGTCCATTGTTGCAGCTATTGGGTCTGTCCACCTTATGGAGACTTTCCCTCATTTTCATTGACACCCTGCTTTATCAAACATGATGTTCTTTTCAAGCAATTAGTCTTTCCTGAAAATTTTCAGGAAATGCACTGTAGTGTAGGCAAGTCCTTTTTCTGAAGTTGTCCTGCATCCAAGAGGTTACTGTCATAGACAATGTCAGAGGCTGGGATTCTGTCCTAGTTATAAGTTTCTCTAGGCCCATTAACCCTGGGACCACAGGGGCTGAGGGATGCCCGGGAAGTGCTGGAAACCAAACAGAAGGGTCAGATCTGAGACCTTCTAAGGTAAGGCCCTGTCCAGCTGGGAGACTCAAATTGAGGGGAAGGTAGTGAGAATCCCTGTGAGTAGCTCAATGTTACTCTGACTTCCAAAATGCTGAAGCAATGACCTTGGTGTTTGGAGGTAGAGGTTGGGTGAGGAGTGTCTCAGGAGTGGCTGGAACTGAGAGGAACCATGCAAGCTGACCTTTCATTCACTGTGATCCCCTTTGGGTCGTGGGCTCTGAACTCCAGCTGTGGTTAGGAAATCCTACTAGACTCCCATCACCCTTCTTCTGGGTGAGTGGAAGAAGCACAACTTCAAATTGCTGATTTTGTTTTTGTTTTATGCACAGGAGAGAACACTGTGTGTCAAGAACCCCTCCAGCATCCTGATGGTCAAGAGGTTATTTCCAAACCACAGGTGAGAGGACAAAGCATTACAAGATGCTAATGCCACCTAATGCTTCTGGTTTTTACCATCACCTGAGTTCCTCAGCCACAAGCAAACCCCTTGCTCAGCGTTGCACCAGCGCTCTCTCCACCTCGCAGTTCTCCTTTCTCTCTATGCCACATCCTGGGCATTGGGGCAGGGGACTGTGTTCTTGGTAATGCTTGTTCCCACCGCCCTGTGTCAGTCAGGGGAGGGGGTAGCAGAGCTGTTCTTGGTTTGCTTTGCTCTCAGATCTCTGCTCCTTCTGACGTCCTGGACTTCCTTCTGTGGCACCAAACGCTCGCCGTACCCCTCCTGTCATGAGAAGACTCTAGAGATTTATTTATTTATTTTAATTTTTACCTTGCTTTATTCCCAAGAAGGATCTGTGGCATTTGTGATAGCTTCTCAGTTAGGCTGTAAGGTTCTGGAGGCGACCAGGTCCAGTTAATCATTCTATCTAGTTGTTGAATCAGTGCACTCCTCCCTGCAATGGTGGACAGCAGCATTAGCTCCCAACTTAAAATGTTCTCCAGCTTTGCCTGGTTGGAGGGCTGCAGCATGTGATTTTCTCAAGTAGTAATGGAGTTACACTACAGGCCTTGTAAAACTTTTATTCCTTTACTGTTTATTTTTTTTGTCTCTAACAAAAATGTAGTACATTACTATTATAAAAGACTTGGAAAATAAAAGTATTATATGAAGAATCAAACAAATATCACTGTTAATCCCAGTCACATATTTTGATTGCTTTCTTCCAATGTTCTTTCCATATGTACATGTATGTGTGTATATATAGTTAACTGATTAAGATCACTCTGTATAAGGCTTTATTTCCTATTTGTTATTTAACCTTATATAATGAAATTTCGTATGTTATTCATAATATGATTTTTATTATTGGTATGACAAAATCCATTGTATCAAACTTCCATCATTCATTCACAAATATTTATGGAGTTCTAGACACTGTTGAAGCCCTAGTGGTGTAGTGGTTAAGAGGTCTGCTGCTAACCAAAAGATCAGCAGTTTGAATCTACCAGGTGCTCCTTGGAAACCCTGTGGGGCAGTTGTACTCAGTCCTGTAGGGTCGCTCTGAGTCGGAATCAATTTGGCGGCAATGGGTTTGTTTTTTGGTTTAGACACTGTTACAGGGGCCGGGGAACACATCAGTGAGCCAGACAAAGCATCCCCTCATGGTGCTTACATCTGGTGAAGGTGACTGAAAATAAACTAATATACACACAGGATTTTACTTTAGATAGGCTGGGCAAGGAAGGTCTTTCGGAGAAGGTCTTTGAGCAGAGATCAGAACGAACTGTGGAGGTGAGTCATACAGATATCTGGGGAACAAGTGTTCTGGCAGAGGGAGGAGCAAGAAAAAAGGCCCTGAAATAGGAATTTGTAATCAAGGATGAGCAAGGGAATTTTTTTATCGAGAAAGTGGGGAGCAATAGGGGAGAGCGCTAAGAAACAAGGTCAGCCAGAGAGATAGCAAAGAGGCCAGATTATGCAGGGCCTTGTAGGCCACGGTAAGGACCCACGTTGTCAGAGGTTAGAGTAAAGCACTTTCCTTTTCCTTTTCTTTCATTCCTTGTCTTTTTCCCTCTCTTTTTCTTTTTCCTTCCTCCTCCCTTCCCTTCCCTCTTCTTCCTTCCTTCCTTTCTCTCATGTCTTCCTTCCTTTCCTTCTCCCCCAACTTTCCTTCCTTCCTTTCTTTCCTTCTTTCACTAACACATCAAACACAGCGAATGGGCATCCTAGTATATAAACCATCGTCTGTGTCTCGAATATTTAATTAAAAGAAATTCGTAGGAGAGCCAGACTGCCTAGGTTTGAATCCTAGCTCTGCCGTTTACTAGCTGTGTGATCTTAGACAGGGTGCTTAACCTTTCTGTGGCTTAGTTTTCTCATATGTAAAATGAGATGATAATCATAAAACCAAACCCAAACCCTTTGCTGTTGAGTCAGTTCCAACTCATGGTGACCTCATGCGTTACAGAGTAGAACTGCTCCATAGAGTTTTCTTGCTGGCCTTTCTTGCGCAGTGCTGCTGGGTGAGTTCAAACCTCCAGCCTTTAGATTTGTAGCCAAGTGCAAATGTTTCCATCACTCTTGATGATAAAAATAGCACTTACATTATAGGACTGTTATGAGGATTAAATCAATTACTGTATATAAACCACTTAGAACAGTGCCTCCAAAAATAAACCAAGCCCATTGCCGTCAAATCGGTTCTGACTCGTAGTGACCCTATAGGACACAGCAGAACTGCCTCATAGGGTTTCCAAGGCTGTAAATCTTTACGGAAGCAGACTGCCACATCTTTCTTCCATGGAGTGGCTGGTGGGTTCGAACTGCCAGCCTTTAGGTTAGCAGCTGAGCACTTTAACCACTGTGCCACCAGGGCTCCTAGAACAGTACCTGGCACGTAGTAAAATACCGTGCTAATTAGAATTTAAAAAATCCTTTTCTGTGTATTTCCAAAGTATTTTCCAAAGGTTGTAGAAATTAAGCTTTTCTTGACTGTACATATAAAGAGGTTCAGGCATATTTTACCCCTCTCTGGTGCACACGCTCACAGTTGATCTTGAGCAAGTCAATTAGGTCTTGAGCTCTAAGATGCATTTGATCCATTAGTTGTCACACTGTGTCTTTTTTGGGTTTGTGGGTCCCCGTGGGGGTGTTCCCTGACCCTCTTAATCTGTATCAGTAGCATTCCATTCGCCCTGCTCCAGGCTTGGCATAGTTCTGGAAACTTTATGTTTTCGGGAGAAGTAGCACAGCACACAAAACTCCAGAGGATTAGGGATAGTATGAGAACTGGGTGTGGGCTCTGGCTTTGTCTTGGACCTTCATTCAGCAAATCATTTTTCACATCTAAGCCTTACTTCCTCATCAGTAAGACATAATCTCATAAGACTATCACACTGATTTATTGAGCAGGTCAGATGAGGGAGTACATGTAAATGTGCCTTCATAACCTGTCAGGAGCTACACAAATGTTAGTTCTTCTTTTCTTCAGTTCCAGGCTCCACTGGTTCCCAGAGCACGAACTATTTCTGAGAGCTCCACCATTTCAGTCAAGGAGGATGAGGAGGAGTCCTTTGATGAGGCAGATAAAAAATCTCTCCAAAATAATGGACAGAGAGAAAAGCGAGGAGATGTGAAAGAGAATGCAAAGGTCGAGGGAATTGTTCCTCCCTTCTCATCATTCCCTGTCCTTGCCTTCCTTTCCGTTTTCCCATTATTTCCTTTCCTTCTTCTCTCATCCCTTTTTTTCCTTCCCATCCTCCCCTCCCCAGCCTTTCCCTCTCCTTCCCTTCCCAAACAGAGCAGAGATGGGAATCTGGCCTTTGGTTGTGTCCTCTCCCCATCTCACCACTATCACGCTGGGGTGGGTTAATCTCGTGTTCATCAGGGAGAAGCAAACCTAGAAGAATTAAGATTCTCCTTCCCCTTCTAGAGCTCAGGGTTCAGATGGTTCAGCTGGTTTCGAGCGAAGCCCGCCACCAACATGTCCTCCTCTGGAGACGAAGACTCACTGGACAGTCCCGACTCTGAGGTAACCTCTGGGGGCAGGATGCTCCTCCTTCCATGGGCCTTTCTTTCAGGGGAAATTTCCTGAACACCTTGGAGGTCCCCAACCCTACCCCAGTCTGAAGGAAACAGAGGTTTTGCTGTGGGAGGTTTTGGGAAATCAATTGGTCCAGCAAGGGCCAAGACAGATTATTAAAGGCCTGAGAAGTGAGGATGGAGGATTTTCACTTTAGAGGGCCAGCGGTAGGGAGCTAGTCTGGATTAGTGAGCAAATGAGCAGCACCAGGAGAGTGCTGTTTTGGGGAGAGCAGCAGGTTCAGCTACTATTGTGGGCGTTGCAGAAACGCAAGCAGGCCAGCATGAATTCTTAATCACCAATGCTGTCTCTCTTTTTCCACAAAGCATTTTAAATCCAAACTGTCCCCTTTGCAGGAGACCCCCAGAGCATCTTCTCCCTTGCAGGCTGGCCCGGGCCTCTCCCTGACTGCGCCCCTTGGGCCCCAGCCTCTGCCAGGCACCAGTACCCTCTCCCAGAGCACAGGTACTGCCAACCTCCCATCCTCCTGGGCTGTCTGTGGACCTCTCGGCACTCCAGAGAGGGTGGGGGTGACTTCTGGGCATGGGGACCTCTCAGTCCCCAGCAAGGAAAACAGCTACATTGCTTTCTAGGTGGTGGGGAACCCCAAGGATCCATGTCCAGCAGGGGAAACGCTGAGGGCACCGGGATTGGAGGTGTGCAGGGGCCTCAGGTGAGTGGCCCACGGGCTCAAGCCTACAACCCCATCAGGTGCCTGGCATGTGCGAGAACTGAACTTTCAGCATTGGCTGGAGGTGCCACCTGTGAGGGACTGATTCATGGGAAATATTTCCTTAGGGGAAGCCTGGAGAACCACCTCTTTCTCTGTCCCAGTAGAAGCCAGAATTCACCCACATATTTGGCAAAGCAAAATAAAAAAACCCAAACCTGTTGCTGTCAAGTTGATCCCAACTCATGTGTTACAGAGTAGAGCTGCTCCATAGGATTTTCTTGGCTATAGTCTTTATGGAACTAGTTTGCCAGACCTTTCTTCCTTGGTGCCAGTAGGTAGGTTCAAATTTCCAACCTTTAGATTAATAGTGGAGCACAAACCGTTTGTGCCACCCAGGGACCTTCGTCCTTGGCAAAGGCTGTAATAAATTTTTTTTAAAAAAATTAAACTTTAGATGAATGTTTACAGAACAAACTAGCTTTTCATTAAAAACGGTTAGTACATACACTGTTTTATGGCATTGGTTAACAACCCCAGAGCATGTCAGTACTCTCCGTTCTCGACCTTGGATTCCCTATTACCAGCTTTCCTGTCCCCTTCTGCCTTCTAGTCCTTGTCCCTGGGCTGGTGTGCCTCTTTAGTCTCATTTTGTCCTTTGGGTCTGTCTAATCTTTGGCTAAGAGGTAAACCTCCAGAGTGACTTCATTACTGAGCTAAAAGGGTGTCCGGAGGCCATACTCTTGGGGTTTCTCCAGTCTCTGTCAGGCCAGTAAGTCTGGTCTTCTTTTTTGAGTTAGAATTTTGGTCTAGATTTTTCTCCAGCTGTGTCCGGGACCCTCTGTTGTGATCCCTGTCAGAGCAGTCAGTGGTGGTAGCCAGGCACCATATACTTGTACTGGACTCAGTCTGGTGGAGGTCATGGTAGTTGTAGTCCATTAGTCCTTTGGACTAATCTTTCCCCTGTGTCTTTAGTTTTCTTCATTTTCCCTTGCTCTTAAAAGGTTAAGAAGAGTGGACTATCTTAGATGGCCTCTTACAGTCTTTTAAGACCCCAGATGCTACCAAAGTAGAATGTAGAACATTTTATTTATAACCTATGTTATGCCAATTGAGCTAGATGTTCCCTGAGACCATGGTCCCCACAGCCCTCAGCTTAGCAATTCAGTCCCTAAGGGAGTTTGGATTTGTCCATACAGCTTCCATGACCTTACCCTGAACAAGTTGTGCTGGCTTCCAGTATTGTGTGCTGTCTTACCCTTCACCATAGTTACCACTTATCTATTGTCTATTTAGTGTCCCCCACCGCCGTCCCCTGTAACCATCAAACATTGTTCCTTTTTGTGTGTAAACCTTTTCATGAGTTTTTATAGTAGTGGTCTCATACAATATTTGTCTTTTGTGATTGACTTATTTCACTCAGCGTAATGCCCTCCAGATTCATCCATGTTGTGAGATGCTTCGCAGATTCATCATTGTTCTTTATCGTTGCGTAGTATTCCCTTGTGTGTATGTACCATAGTTTATCCATTCATCTGTTGATGGGCGTCTAGATTGTTTCCATCTTTTTGCTATTGTGAACAGTGCTGCAGTGAACATGGGTGTGCATATGTCTGTTAGTGTGACTGCTCTTATTTATCTAGGATATATTCCTAGGAGTGGGATTGCTGGATCATATGGTATTTCTATTTCTAGCTTTCTAAGGAAGTGCCATAATGTTTTCCAAAATGTTTGTACCATTTTGCATTCCTACCAGCAGTGCGTAAGAGTTCCGATCTCCCTGCAGCTTCTCCAACATTTGTTATTTTCTGTTTTTTTTCATTCTTGCCAGTAATGCTGGGGTGAGATGGTATCTCTTTGTGGTTTTGGTTTGCATTTCTCTAATGGCTAGTGATCGCGAGCATTTCCTCATGTCTCTGTTGGCCATTTGAATGTCTTCTCTGGTGAAGTTCCTTTCCTTTGCCCATTTTTTAATTGGATTATTTGTCTTTTTGTGGTAGAGATGTTGGATTTTCCTATAGTTTCAGAGATTAAACCTTCGTTAGATTTGTAATAGCCAAATTTTTTTTCCCCAGTCTGTAGGTTGTCTTTTTACTCTTTTGGTGAAGTCTTTTGATGAGCATAAGTGTTTAATTTTTAGAAGATCCCAGTCATCTAGCTTATCTTCTGGAGTTTGTATGTTGTTAGTTATGGTTTGTATCCTGTTAGTGCTGTGTATTAGGGTCTCTAGCATTGATCATATTTTTTCTTCTATGATCTTTATAGTTTTTGGTTTTAGACTTCGGTCTTTGATCCATTTTGAATTAGTTTTTGTGTATGGTATAAGGTATGGGTCCTGTTTCATTTTTTTTTTTTT